CCATCTATGAAGTATCAAAATAATTTAAAATAAATCCATTTTTAGTATTATTACACCTAATTGCATCTAACATATAATCCAATGATAATCATTGAATGATTTCAAGTTTTAGGTTAAAAATTCATTGTTGTCATTTGATACTTTTATAACATAGCTTGTAGTTTTTTGTTTCAATTATGCTTGCTTTTGTTTATAATTGCATCGTTAATTGAAATTATAAAAAATGTGTAGTTGATTTTTTTGCCAATATATAAACATTGGATTTGTATGAATTGATCATTTAAACCTTGATAAAAAAATTTGTTAACATACCTGCTTGAAGCAAATAGGCGTAATTTTGTGAAGATTCGTCTTGTTCATAGAAGGTGAAACCTTGCAACCAACTTCAATAAAATAGACAAGCAAGTAAAAGTTCAAAAGTAGTTCAATCTTTTCTTTGAAATTATTAAAGTTTTAATATCAAGATTTTAAAAGGTATAATTACGTCTCTAGAACCATTATTCTTTTAAATACATCAATATGACGTGTTATGTAAAAAACTATATAAATGTAATTTTAATTTATCATATAAACATCATTAGATACAAACATGAATTATTTCTCTCAACATACTCTCAAGTTTTTAGTTTTTTAGCGTCAACTCAAAGCGTTCTTTTATAATCAATTTTTCTTGAACAGTAAATTAAATTAAAAACATTTATGGCTTTTCAATTTAGTTTCTGGCAATTTAAAAAAAATTGAATTCCAAACTGACTTTCATTTATGTTTATCTCATATGATTTTTTGACAATTCATCATAATTCTAGAAGAATGTATTCTATTCATATGTCCGTATCTAAACATACTCTCTCACAATGTCTTTTTCCATTAATCTAGCTTTTACTTTGACCATTAGATAAATCTAATCTTCATTCATGCACTTTATAATAGTCAATCTTAATTTAATAGCAATATTTTGTGATTTTTTAATCTTTTTTTTTGCTTTGAGATCAATCACAATTTTACTTTGTGTACTTTCATACTCTCATTTTCACATATAAGAGTATGAAAATCTGTTGGACTTGTCTCTTTTTTTTTCAATGAAAACATACATCTATGGTTCTTATCTTATGATTTTCAAGCTTATTTTATTTAAGTAAACATCAAATGATTATTTGGTAGTCCATCATGATTCTCAAAGGTTGTAATTATCTATATATTCATATCTAAATATCTTCTTATATATTATTTCCAATCATTACTCAACACAACCTTTTATTGAAACTTCGAATCAATTGCAAATCTAGATTTTTGATTGATGAAACAAATAATCACACAAAAAACTTTTCAAATTTTCCTGAGAATTTTTTTTTTCATTTTAATTTTGCTGTTTGAGAATAATCATGATTATCTATGACAATATACTGTTATCCAAGTTACTTTCACTTAAGTTAATTTTGTTAGAATGAAAATTTTCCATGAGCTATTGCTCATGGAAAATTTTACATGGCAACATGTCATTGGCCCATCTAGACTTTCTAGAAGATTTTTTGTCCTTGAATTAAGGTGGATATCTATCATTGAGAAGCTTCATTTTAAATTCTTACTATGTGAAATTTTTGACTTAGTCTAATTGATGAAAATTTATCATTTAGTAAAATTAATTAACATTGACATATTGTTTAAAAAAATTTCCATTGAATTCTAAACTTTGATAAGAGACAAAATAAGTATGCTCATCTATAAATAATGTAATTATAAATTAGAATAGCCATATATAGATTTGATAGCCAAACTTGATTAAAATATAAAGTTAGTCAATAGTAATTCTTAAAAAAAATTTGATTCATTGATACCATTTAAATTTTCTAAAATACATTGTGTCATTTTGGAAGTTTTGCATAAGGTGTATGTAATAATTGTTATCAATTTCATTGTATTTATTTAAATAAATATAAATAAATAAATAAATAAATATGATATAGTTCTATCATATTTTTATTACAGTTTAATTGTAGTTAGCTATACTTAACAAAACTATGAAATTTATATATTTAGAAAAAACCTCGCATATTAATGAATTTTTTTTAGAAGATTACAGACCCGAATACATGAGTCAGGCAAAGAATGTTAATGTTGAACTTAGGTTTCATTTATAAGATAGATGAAACTTTAATTAGTAATTTTATAATTAGTTTGTAACTATATGTGAAAGTTGATCATATCACTTTTAATTTCAAAGTAAATCATGTGTATTTTCATAGACATACACTTTCTGTAAAGATGAACATGTATATTGTCTATTAGCTTTTTCTTTTTTGTTTACATATGTGTGAATTCTACGTTTGAAAATTATAAAATTTAAGATTTTGGGAAAATTTCCAAAATTGATATTCAAGATCATAATTTAGTCAATTTTCAATGAATCATGATATAATTTTGAAATTTTGTAGATCATGTATACTTTTGTAAACTAACAAAGTACAACCAAAAAACAATAAAATATTGCAAGTCGTGCAATACGTGTGTCAAATGAGATTGGTAGACAAATGTTATTATTTCTTACGAGTTTATAGAGAAAATCTTACAAGATTGATCACAATCGAGTTTTGAAAGAAGAAAATTGTAGAAAATATAATTTTAATGAAACCTTATTGTGTTTTTTTGTGAGAAATTGATATTTCACCATAATAGACAAGAAATAAATCGTTAAATTGAAAATGCGATTTAGCAAGATAAACTATTTGATTAAAAAAGTATTGATACTTAAAATTTTTGGATGTTTATCCCTATTTTCTACTCTTTGGCTTTCACAAGAGCTGCAACTTTAATTTAATAGTGAAAGAAGATTTTGATTGACAAAGATATACACTTTTAAAAACAAATATAAGAAATGTTTTTACCATTTGTTGCTACTTTTATTACTGTTCAGTATTAAATTCTTGAGATTGGTAGCAGTATTACTGAAAGATATTATCCCTATTAACATTATTGTTATATTTTTCATTCTTAAAATATTAGGCTGATTATAAAATATTTGCTGTATTTACATTCAGTGTAAATGTAAAATTTTTTTGATAATTGAAAAAAATTGGATCACATTGATGCAAGTTTAAAACTTTATTTGAAACTCAATTCTTTATATATTTAGATTTATTTACTGATAGTGTTTTGAGAATGTAACAAATTCTTAATTAAAGCATAAATACATATGAAATGAAGAAATCATTTTGCCGGTATTTTGTGTGAGTGGTATTGAACATTACTCACTGTACATCAAGAAGATTAGAGTGTTTATTTTGTACAACATAGATGTCATTAACTAACATAATCGACTGTGCAGGTTTGAGCATTGAGAAGAGATATTCTAGGAGAAATACAATGTACCCTAAGTCCATGATCAAGATTGACTTAATTTTTCCAAATTTGTCTTCAAACTTGACCCATACTGCAATCGAAAAGGTGCTCATGTGTACACCTTTTGAATAATCTACATATGAAGTATAATAAAGTACAATATTGAAATTAACCTACACATCAAATTCTACATACAAGAACTTGATTCTTGGATGCTGTCTATTCATACTGTTTGAGAAATATATTTCTGATTGTGTGAAGACTGAATACATTAATTATTTTTTCACGGTTTTTTCCTTCCAAATGTTTAACTTGTGCTCATACTTCTATCATATTTCTATAAATTTTAGTAATTTTCGTTACGAACACTCTACATGGGAAAATTTGATGATCAACTTACAACATGTGGTTTCTGTAAGTCGTGACATCCTGATATATAAAAAGTATTGCTTACATTGTTATTGAATTTTCTTACTACTTTATTGCACTCATTTCTGTGCAGAAGCAGACTTATTCTCTACATGCTTGCTGGCATTCTTTGAGAGAGATTTAATATTCTATAGTATTTGTATTATTGACAATGATTTCTGTTCATTTATTCTGCATAGTTCTTCACAACCTTTAGTTTAATATTTTTTTGGCGAAAGGTAAATGTTACGATTAACAATCATACACCCGCTTTCAGGTTATTAGTGCTAGTACTTAAAGAAAATATTATGAGAATGAAGCAGGATCAATTGTAAATGGTATATAACGAGGCCTCTCTATATAGAGCGGATTTCGTATGTTCCGTATCTCAACAAAATAAAGATAATTCTCAAATCAAAATACGGAATATAAGGAACTTGATAGAAATCTCTCATGTTCTTGGCCGAATTTGACGGCTATGTAATATATCTTCGAGAGAGATGGGTGTAATTTTTTATCTTTGAATAGACTTTTTTCCGATTTCAGCACTGAGAAATCACTCTTCACACAGTTGCAATGTTCGAAAATGGTCAAATTAATCCTCCGAAAAACTGCATTAGTTGAAGAAATCTATTCTTAACACTTGGAATCAAACGGTTCAGTCAATAGGTTTTTGTGTTCTTTCATTATTTAATCTATATCCTTCTGTTTTCAAGAAAGTTTGAGACGTTTTAGATATTTTAGAACTACTTGTATAATTTCTTGTTTTTTCAAAGTCAAAAGTTATTGAGGTAAGCAAAGAGACAAAATACTAGAACTTGCCTAGTTGAATTGATCAAGTGTCACCGCAAAGTTTTTATTGAGTAACTCCATTAATTTCTCTAATAAAGCCACCTAGATCAACAAAGATATTGTCACAAACGATCACCGCAAAACTTTTAGCTGAGTGACTCACTTAGTTTCTCTAGCATAGCCACCTAGATAACAAAATTTTTTTTGTTAGAAATAAGGAACTTTATGAAAACGAAATACAGCATCGGACTCTCAAGTTACGTATTTGCCGTATTTAGACAGGCATGTATATAACTGACCCACACAACTTGCGCACTGCACATAACAAAAGTGTGGATGAAAAATTATAAGATTCAGTACCCACTTCTCACCTGCACCATTCATTCTCAATCGTTCGTCACATAGACTCTAAGGTTTTCTGACTTTTGACACTCGGGAACCCTCTTGCCTGGTCATGGTTTATTGCTACAGAAGCAGAAGCTGGGACCACTTGCACACTGATTATATCTCTCTCTCACAGAGTGTCACCATCTGATTGTCTTCGGATGGTACATGTCAATTCTTAGTACTAGGGTAACACTTCAAAGTGCGCAGCCACAGCTTTCGAAACACCGAGCAATCTCCCCAGTTTGCGAAATCTATCTTTCAAGGTAGCACCTCAACTCTTTCGGTGCTTTGTGACTTTTTCCGTTTTCCTCTACTTTTCAACGATCATTTGTATCGGGATCACATCTCACGAGAATTGAAGATTCACATTTGTAGACGGGGAATGTTCGAGACACATTCGCCGGTAGAACTTATAAGACATGCATGAGACATTCCAAGAGCGGTGGAGGAGATGGCATATTTTCGAGAGTAAAAAAATTAGCCGCCTGGTTTTTCGTCATTACTGTCATTGGGAGTGATATACATTCGAATTCTTGAACTCTGTTTGCACTCATCCTCATGGTCTTTGCCTCCTTTTTCCTCGAATGCACAACAGACTTTCTTCTTCCCTTTTCAGCTTGAGAGGATGCTTAATTTTTCGGCCTCATCTTTTGGGGCTGATTCATAAACCTGGTGTGCAGTTCCTGTTTGGATAGGTCCCATAATTATGGGAGATGCCAAGGATATTCTGGGTCTTCCGAAGGTGGCTGACCGTTCTGATACCCCGAAATCATCGGACAAACGTCGTCAGTCAAAAGACTCACAGAGGAAGCCAGATGGAGTTTCTCGAGAGGTCTATTCCTTGATCGGAGGGCTGCCTCCTATAATGACATGCCTGCCGGACATCAACGTGAAGAAGCACCTACAGCAGCCAGTCCATCCCGACAGGAAAAAGGGCTGGAGATGGGTGCCAATTTCATCTTCTGCTAGAAAGGATAACCTGGAGCTGCATCACTGGGAGCAAGTGGACCTCGAAAAAGAACCTCCTGACTTCGAGAGATCAGACAGCAGCATAGCGGAGGGATCCGGCAGCATTGCTCCAATACGGCCCCAATACAAAGTTGCAGCTAGGCCACCAACGGACTACGTCTATGCTAAGTACAACCGGACTGTGGATATTGTTAGGTACACCGATGAAGAGTACGCTCAATACCTAGAAGACGAGAACTGGACCAGAGAGCAAACCGATCAACTTTTTGATCTATGTGAGCAGTTGGACCTGCGCTTCATCGTCATCGCAGATCGTTTTCCTGACTCTCGTACTCCTGAAGAACTCAAGGACCGCTATTACAATTGCGCTAAGAAGATCCTCGAGAGTAGAGTGTCGTCTCCGGATGAGGTAGCACAACATCCGTTGGTGAAAAATGCCTACAACTTTGAGCACGAAGTTGAGCGCAAGAAGTCTCTAGAATTGCTGTTATCACAAACTCGGAGGCAAGAGAGAAAGGATCATGAAATCCTAGAAGAAGCACAGCGCATCAGAGAAGAGCGGTTCAAGCAAAGGAAAGCAGAAAAGGCGTCGCGGGCAGCAGACAAGAGAAAACAGGCAAGGATGGAAGTGATTGCAGAAGTGGAAAACACGGGAGATCTGACAAGAGAGGGGGGAACGTCAGATGCGTTATTAGGTACTTCAGGGTCGCCAACCTTGAAAACTGCTGAAGAAGGAGAAGCTGGCTCTCCCAAAGTTCCCACTCGCCCACGGCGGCCGGCAATGCGCAACCAGGCCTCACACGCCAGTACGAGCGTTGAAGCTCCTGCCACTTCCTGTCCATCTCAAGATACGCAAGAACGCTCAATGGTACCTGGGGAATCTAATGTTGCCAAGTCTCTTACAAAGAAGGTACAAGGGGTATACCTCCTATCAACCCATCATGCGAAAGCGGTGCAGGAATATTCATCACAAGCAGGACAAAGGGCCTCACGGCGCATAAATCAGATGCTTGAAAAGTATAAGTGTCCTCCAAAGGTGAAGCAATTTACAAAAAGGGTTTGTGATATGCATCTGGAAGTCAGAGAGCATCTACTTGCCCTCGTCAAACTTGAGGAAGAGATACAATTGCGAGAAGCTGAAATTAGGACAGCCAAGACGACTAATAAAGGTACAGATAAAACTTCGCCCAGCACTCCCAGGAGGTCACAAAGGGTAACTGCAGCAGTAGTCGGAGCGGAATCTAATACGTCTTCAGGAGAACGAGTGAGCAAAAGGGAGAAACGCAGGAGTGTACGAACGATCGAACAGTAAGCATGCAGCCTTCGGACGCAATATGTTTCTCATGTTTTTGGACAATCAAGTCTGAAAGAGGTATCTCCTGATCGTTATCCTGGCCATCTCCTGACAGATGGAAATATGCTGTGAGGTTGGGTAAGAGAATGAAGAATCAGATTTGGGGTGTTTTCAAAGCTTCGATGTATTTTCTACGGCAACGTGTCTACACCTCAAACGTCTGTGGCTCCTGGACACCTCCTGCCTGCATGTGACATCTGTTCATCATGAGGTTTCTCTTCAAATGTAAGAAATGCTATAGAGTCGTTAATCTGAACCACTTGTCTGTATGTATACTAGTCAAATTAAGCGGTTTGAAATCAATAATTAGTTTGTAACACAATACCCGTTGAAAGTGCTTACAAAGTCTTCATACTGCCACCACACACAGATCAAGAATATTTGGGTAGCTCCCCCTTAGTTTGGAAATCAAGTAACCATGCTGTCATGTCATTACTTGCCTAAATTTGAAGATAAGGGTTTCGAACAAATTCATCACAGTTTTCAAGTGTCGGGTAGTTATTTCCTGCAATCCTTTTTGATGGAGTCTGCAGTCTGAAGAAAATATTCTCTTGTGGATGATATGAGGCTACACATCCATACCAGGCATACTAAAACCGGTTCAAGTTTCTCCCAGTATACAGCATACAGGTTGCAGAAGTTTCTGAAACTTTTCATCTTTCCGTAGAGTATTATTTTTTCTTATTGATTTTATGGGAGTGTGTGGTTTGCATGCTTTCTAGTGTAATATAGACACTTCAATTTGATGTAAAATATAACTTACAGTGCAAGAAACCTTCACAATTTTGTTTTTCAAATTTGAGGTCAATAATTATACTAAAATATCGGTCTGATAGATTGGACTCTCATTCCTTCAAAATATGTATGAAGCGTATTTCAATCTCCTCGCTCTAGGTATACTTAAACATTTTATTGACCATGAAGTCTACAATACGCGCGATTGATTTGTTCTTAATACTGTAGGATTTATATTTCACACAAGAATACAATATTATACATATGTTTTAAAATCAATGACACTCTTCTGGCTGTTTGGAAACAATGTCGGCAGATTCTTAGACGTCACCTTTTCCTGGAAGTGGCTTGGCCTGAATGCGGTTTTAGGTGGAATGTCACTACAGTATTTCAAATTCCTCTTTTCATTATTCAAAATAGCCTAGGATTATCGAAAAATTATGATATAATGGAGATGTGTTATCAATTTTATGTTATTCTAATTACTCGAAAGGTTCTGATGAAACGTTCAGAAAAGCCATGTCGAATGAATAAGAGCTGAATGGTTGTGGATGGAGCTCAGACGAAGGTTGTGTAAGTCTGTTGATCATGGTGAGGTATCGTTGAAGACGAAAATGCAGTCCTCTTAAGTCTACCAGTCGTATCAGGAAGATTTTTTCTTGTCTTATCGAGATATCTAGCTACAGGACAATTGCCAGAGGGCACATAAAGCTACGTCAATTTTCTAGGTCTGAAACGAACTGAAGATAAACCGTTTTCTCAACGTTAGTTGAAGTTTGGTTTAAGTAACTTTGGAATTCACGAGAATATCTTGCCTTTCAGAAGGACTAATCAGGATTACAGTAATATAACGACGAGCTGATGATGGTCATTCCATCCCACGATCCTTTAGGCTCCCTGATCTCACTTCTGCGGAAGCCGAACTCCCACTGTCCTCGCTTCTCCCGCTTGGATCACAAAGCGGCGGTACAAAATTCGAATATTGCCCGCGAGCAACTGATAATAGCTGAACACCATCTCCTGTTATAATTCTATATTCCATAGACCGAGCTGAGATTGAATCCAGCTCTGGCGTATCGCCATTCAAGTTTTTCATGGCACTGATGTTCCATAGTAGATCATCATTTACGGACAGGGATTTAAAGACAGAAGTCGGAGTCCATCTAAAGACAAGAGTTTTCAATCTCTTCATTAACGAGAGAAGTGTAATGGCTGCTCGCCATTCAAGTTTTTCATGGCACTGATGTTTCATAGTAGATCATCATTTACGGACAGGGATTTAAAGACAGAAGTCGGAGTCCATCTAAAGACAAGAGTTTTCAATCTCTTCATTAACGAGAGAAGTGTAATGGCTGCTCGCGATGGGCCAAGGCCTTATAATGGTATATCGAAGAGGCAGGAGCATGCGGCACCGACTCCACCCGGTGTAACCACAGCAGTGTAAACTCAATTGTTGGATAGGAAGCCAGACTGACTTCATGTGCTTTCCTGACGATTTCAATTACCAGCTAAAAGCGTCACAAGGGAGCTTTTTGAGCAGGCCAGAGAAGACGCAATTTCCCGGTCTCATGTACCTGCGGAACGAAAATATAGTCTGGCGCAGCATCGGATTGCGGGGCGCTCGATGTAAATCTCATTTCCTCCATCGATAGACATTCACAGTCTGATCTGCTCTTCGCGCTGCCCCTTCCCTCCAGTTTTGTGTGCTACAAGTATTCAATGGCGGAATGCAGCGCGTACGCGAGCCCTCCGCTTCCACAAGTTACGACGTGCACTTTCATATGCTAAATTACGCCAAGCCGTGGTGCAATCGGTCAGTTCTCCGAAGATCATCGCCCTTCTGGGTCAGCGATAGGCCCTCCCGGGTAAGTGTACTTCATATCGGGTTGGGGAGTCATATTCATGAAAATTGTGAATGCCGTCCTTGTTAAGCTTATGGGTCTAAGACAGACTGTCGTTCTTGTGTGCAATTTTTAATTCACGCTCATCCGGTAGTTCTGAAGTGCATATAAAGAAACTGGATGTTAAGAGGAAATGCTACAGGATTGAATTCCATTATCCCCTTCGTCCAAAGTCGGCCAGCAGTCTGCAATGAAAGACATGTATATTCATTCCTCATTATGGACCGGACTTGGACACATTGATCTGTTCAGTCCCATCGAGGAGTAATGGGCACATCTCCTGTGCAAGGATGCTAGACGCAGTCGAGAAGCTCATAACTCGAGTCAGCTCAATGAATATCGTCACAGAGCATCTCAAGAAAGGTCGTTATAACGCTCTCAAATACATGCTGGCCCAACATGCTTTTTGAAAAACACAAGCAAGAACAGTACATTTCGGCCAAAAATTAAAGACTTAAATAGAACAATAGAGAGTGTTTTTTTGGTTTCGCCCATAACCAGCCCTTAATCGCATCAGTATATAATAAACAGCGTGAACAAATCGTTAGAGAAAGGAAAATACCAGAATTGAATTGAGTTTTCTATTGCGTAAATTGACTTCTGAAGATCCTAATTGTACTTATACTAAAGAAAAGATTTATTTATTTAAAACGGATTACCATGATGGCAGGCAGGAGCTCTTGGTTTCTTTTCTGGAACCACTTAGTTCATAGTGTTAATTTCACAGAAAATCGAAAATCTTGAAAAGAGGTTTCAGCAATTTCGGCAAATTAGTGGCGCTACTGGGTCATGGCTTTCGAAATAGAAGGCGGATATACAGTAAAAATACTTGTGGATTTAGGAAGATTCTATGAAAACATCAGGATCTTTGGATATGATTACTTTTGAGGTATCATCGATCGAAGTTATACCCCGAAAACTATGGCCATGGCGAGGCTCTGAGACTAAAAAAACATGGCTCACTAGTATTTTTGGGAAGAAAACTCGAAAATAAACGGGATTGGGGTGTTGGCTCTTTAATTGATTAAATCAAGTAGACTATGAATTTTTTTCATTTTTGATTTAGACTGTTCTGTGAATTTTGTGAATTCATTATTCTTACTGTTCAGTTTAATTCTTTTATAAAGGCCTTGCCGGCCCGATGCGTGAGTAGCCAAAGGCGACTAATGGGTAACGTGTTGGGCCTTTGCTTGGGCCCAAGGGGCATTTGAAATGGCCGAGAGGTCCTTATTACATAAACACTTATTTGATTTTACGGGTACTCTAGCCGGCTTTCGGCGGAGGGCTTTGGGCTTCGGCCTTGGGCAGCAGGCCTGCTGCTTGTGAGCCTAGCCGGCCTAAGGAATATAGCCAGCCGAAGGCTGCCCCGAACTGGGGGTTTACAATCCCTCCAGAATTTGAAGAATATGAGCTCGTCGGAAGTTTATTATATGAATTTGTACTTTTTCATCTGGTTATTTATTATGGTTCTATTTTCTAAGGTAATCTACTGCCCCCAAAATACCCCTATTTTAAAGCCCGTGGGTAGTCACTGCAAGCATAGTTCTATACTTAACGTATCACTGGGTAAATACGGATTTCCTCTTTTTTGTCCTTTTTTAAACTAGATTCTTTCAGTACTATTTTCATTATTCCCTCTCCGGCTGGAGTAATGGTTATGGATAACTATTAAGGGAGATTTATACGTGTTTCTATGATAAAATATGCCTTACGTTTTTATTTTAAGTTTACATTACATTTATTTTATTAAAAAATAAAAACATAAAGGAAGTTATATATATATATATATATATATATAGCATCAGATATAAAATTAGAAATGATATTCAACTCGCATTTCATAGAGCTTATAAGGATCCTTGGGACGCAGGCGGTTTGAATAATGCCAACCGCACCCTTGAAAACCCTTTGAATTTTAGTGGCAACTGGATACCCAAACGTAACATGAGGAGCTGTAGGATAGCAAACGCAGTCCCTAACCCTGCCCCGAAAACATTGTCAGCTGCCGCTACAGGTCCGAGCAGACTAGCCCCACAGTTGTGGCTGGATGGGAGGTCAACATTGTAATGTCTAAGATGATCGCGAACTCAAACGAAGAAATCCAGAAGTAAAAATGGTGCTGAAGGATCATCAACAAAATTTGGCCAATATGGCGTGGAATTAGAGCATTAAACCGTCTAACCACACGGAGACAAGTTAGCACAATTTGCTTGAGGACGCATTGGCAGAGTTGGATATTGCAGAGCTAGGGCAGACTTGCAGACCTTGATCTTATCGCATTTCCAGATACCCGTACCAAGTAAGTCAAATAAGATAAAGCTAATGACGCCGGATCGACGTTGGGCCAGGCGCGACATCCGATAATGCCGTCCTGTACTCATGTCCCGAGTCCTTTAGAGCTATACAATGACCCGCTGCATGATACTCACAAAACAACCTCTTTATCTATCCAGCGGTGTCTACAACTCCCAGCAGCGTAATACGAAAAAGCGAAAAAGATGAAAGATAAAGCTATTGACGCCGGCGGACTTTGGACCATGCGCGACATCCGATATATCCGTTTCCGCTGCCCCGGCCTGTGCTCATGTCCGGAGTCCTTTAGAGCTATACAGTGACCCGCTGCTTGATACTCACACAACGACCACTTTATCTATCCAGCGCTGTCTACAACTCCGGGCAGCGTAGTTCGAAAATGCGAGCCCGCGCCACGATCCTTTCCAAAGAAGCGCGCCTGTGGAGCCCTGCCGTGCAAGTGTGACCCTCAAGTAAACCCCGCTGCGACCCGGGTATCTGGTTCTTTTGCATTACAGTTGTGGGTGCAGATGCTTGACATGCTGACTGGACTAGTCGAGGTACGGGCACGGCACACCTGTTCTCTCGAATACTCTTCCCAAGCTTGTATTCAAGCGGCTTCTGAGACCGCATGGAAGAGACCTTCCGCGATGATGATGATGATGATTGACGCTGAAGCGGACAGACATAAGCAGATCACGATGACCAGATGACAAGAAGGCCATAAGGTCTCCAGTAGTGCGTCAGTGATGATGCATTCGAGAATCAGAATTCCCTTTTTCCCAGTTTGGAAGGAGGAAAGTGAAACGCACGATCCTGGACTGCCCGTCATCTGCTTCACCAGCTGAGCTGCCGTAAAAAAGTTACTATCAAAAGGCAAAGAATGATTTTCCTTTAAAATGTGATAATATATGAAATAATGTCAAATCTTGTTAAAAAAATAACTTAACAAATGATTATCTGCTTATATTAATTTGAAATATAATTTTCAATAAAAAATAGTAATTTATCAAGATTCACTGTAATTTTAATTCAGGTAACAAGTTCACTAATGTTAATACTTTCGAGAGTTTTAGGAAACAATGTTTCTATGCACATTAAACACTACAAATTGGTAGATGTTGGTGACTAGCTTGACAGTTTGAATATGATGTACAAAAGCATAGCTCATTGTTTCAATTGTGGACTACACGACACGGCCATCTCTTTCACATCTCTTAAGATTAGCGTGAAAAGAGAGCGGATCGTTGAAACCCGAGCAAATATATGGATTGTCTCTAAGGCCTGAAATAATCTGATTTAGGTCCAGAATCAGGAGAACATAGCACAGGTGGCGGCCTTCATTCCCTAAAGCTAGACATACGATCTCTAGTTATTCTGGACTTTCCTGACTTCAACGGAGGATTCGAAACCAGATAGATTTGGCAATCTACAATAGAGTTAAGATGCTCGCAAGCAATGCCTCTGAGATTACGTGTGCTAAAACAGTGTATGCGACTTATTTACTCAACATTCTCCCATTGAGTATGGGGAACTGGGATGAAGAAAAGTTTCAAGAACCCTCTTGTTTTGATTGTTCCTCATATCTACGGCTTCTGTAATAAAAAGCGTAAGAGAATCGACTCTATCTAGAATCTAGAGAGAGTCTAGATGCAACCTTCATCTGTGCAATGTGCTCTTTTCCTTGATAAGTGCAAAGATAAGGGTGTAATTGCCGGAAAACTACTCGGATTAACTGAAATTGCGCATTATTCTTCTACTGAGACTCAACCGTTGCTCACTAAGGTCACTGTATACATTTTCCCTTTTGCATATGTCAGGATTGACTCCATTTGTAGGTATAACCTACAAATGTAATAATGAGTGAGGACACCACGCCACATTGGAATTGGACACCACTCCGTGCTCGCCAATAGAGGTGTGAGAATATTATCCCTTTTCCTTTTTTTCGAGGTATTAGCATATTATCCCTTTAGTTGACCGGCGGGGACGGCTTGTAGTCTCGGGATATTTTGATAGACGGCACCGTTTAGGAAGTCTTAGGTCCAGGTTGGCACTCGTCTCGAGGTGTTCGACTCATACCACTCTAAATCTACTGCCATTTATATTTTGGTCATGGGCTTCAGATCAGTATGGGTGATTGATAGTTCATAGTGTTTAGAAGACAGTCGTTCGCAATGTGAGATCTGAGAAGTACATCTGTACCGACGCCACATCATGTCAAAGATGAAGCCCGATTACAAGAAGCTCAACTATCTGGATCTTCACAGACCTTTTGAACAGGTTGTCAAGCGCCTTGAGGAGTTGGATCTTGCAAAAGAAATCCGAAATGGATCTGATACAGCTCCAAGTTTCGACACAGAAAAGGTCACTACCTCGCCATCGTCTAGAAGTCATCATGATGAAAGTGCTCAGTCAGAGAGACTGATGCGTCATGCTGCTGGAGCCGGATATCTAAACTTTGAAAAGAGATTCGTGAAAAGACTTCCCGAAGAGGATCTGTTTCTGAAGATCAAAGAGGGTGATTTGGAAGGCGTGAAGAAAATCTTGCAAGCTGGTAGCGGCGATCCACTGAGGTGCACTGAGGATGGATTGAACTGCTGGCACTTGGCTGCGAGGTATGGGCGCCATCTAATCCTGGGTCTGCTCATAGAGCAGACTCCTTCAGAAAATCTGCCGCCTATTCTGGAAAGGAAATCTACCGAATCCCCATTCCGCACAGCTTTGCACTATGCAGCTGACAACGTGAACACAGAGGTTATAAATCTTCTAGTCCCCCATCAAACCATCGATGTGCTGAACGATGTAGATGGCGACGGAAACACGGGGCTCATGATTGCATGTGATCGAAGCTCTGGGGGCGAACAAGCGGTCGAGATACTTCTGCAGAAAGGTGCTGCGGTCAGTACGCAGAATGACCAAGGCTATAACTGTCTGATGATTGCTGCATCGAGAGGTAACGTCGCATTAGTACAGAGATTTATGTTCTCAGATGTGGGCATCAGGTACCTCCGGGAGAAACGCCTCATAGGCATGACTGAGCCACAACCGCATCAGATGTTCGTAAATGCCAGTGCCGACGTAACGAATGAGACCGCACTCCATCGAGCGGCTGCGCGAAACTACTGGAAGGTGTTACAACTCCTGAAGAATGACCACAACATCATCGTGGACGCGCGCGACTGGCTCGACCGCACGCCTCTAATGATTGCGGCCGTGGAGGGTAACCTGTCGGCGGTCCAAATTCTCCTGATGTGCCATGCTGACGTGAACCTCCTTGACAAGTCCAAGAGAAGCTCCCTGCACGCGGCCGCTTCCCAGGGTCGCTCGAAGGTGCTGTTCGAGCTGCTCATGGTGGACGACCTGGATGTGGGTGGCAAGGACAAAGACGGGGACACGGCGTTGGACATTGCTTGTCAGCTTGGCTATATAGAAGCCGTGAGACAGATCGTGGACAGCATAAAGCTGCGCATCGAGCGAGAATCGTCAACCAAGGTGGCTCGCAGGAGCTCGCAGATGACAGGGCCGCGTGCGAAGTTGCGAGCCGCGTGCTCGCACGAAGATGGACGGAACTGCCTGCACATCGCAGCCTCCCACGGCCGCGCGGAGGTCATTCAGACCCTTGTAGGTTACCGAGGCCTCTTGGACATAGATAGTCAAGACCGTCAGGGTAACACAGCGTTGATACTTGCAGCGGAGAGCGGGCACACTGCAGCCTTCCAAATGCTGGTGCAATCTGGAGCAAACGTGTTTCTTCTTAACGATAACGGTTATAATTGCGTGCATGTGGCCGCAAAATCTTGTCAAAACGACCTTCTCGAAGCGTTCTTGATTGATGAGGACAGTGCTGAGTTCCTGGGATCCGAGCTGCTGGAAGGGAAGGAGGCACTCTGCCCTACAATTCCGAGGTTCGGGACGGACTGGATGCCCAAGGACGGCCCGTTGGGCCATGCGTGGAATGTGGCGCGTTTGGAGCTCTTGGAGAAGACTGGTGGTGAAAAAAAATACACTCCTCTGCACTTGGCTGGAATGGCCACAGAAAATAGTAACAGCCAGAAAACCCAAATACTCTTGATGTGGAGCTACTTGATTCTTGCGCTGAAGGTGCGAGGATTCTCCAACCAATATTTCTATCTGACGCGTGACGACGAGTTCCAGAGTCTTGTCCGAGAGCAACTAGCGGCCATGTACGAAGAGAAAGAGTTGAGAGATTTAGCCAGCACTCATCAGTCTCGCTACACAGTCCTCTGGTTTTCTATGAAGCTACGTTGGTTTTGGCGTGACAGGCCCTCGACTTTTTTCAGAGTGAATAAAATCTCCGGAGGTGCTGTGGATAATTTACTGATCAAAGAGTTTGTCGAGGCTTTCATTCAGTCCCTGAATTACTGCAACGCTGGAGACGAAGATAACACAACAGTGCTGCATTACGTTGCGAATCGAACAACTCAAAGCCGAGAGCCCGACGAAAAGTACAAGAGCTTTGTAGAAAGACTTCTGAAATATCCGGCGATCGATGCGACTGTTGTTGATTCGTCGTCGGAGACGCCTCTGCATCTCGCCATGAAGAGCGGAAATGTGTGCGTCGTCAGGCAAATTCTCGAAATGGTTGAAAAGGCGCACATTACTCCTCTCATTCTGACCGCAGAAAACAGTAGCAAGCAGACTCCTTGCTCGATCGCATTTGATAGATGGCAGGCCAACGCAAAGGCCGCTCGAAGGCACGGACGTTCCCCTGACCCAAACGCCGAGTACAGCGTCTCTCTGGAATTGCTGGAGACTTTTGTGATCGAGAAATACTTAGAGCAGGAAGATGCCATCAATTCAGCGCAATCCGGCTGCAAAGAAGCAATGTCCACTTTGCTCCATTGCCTGGCCGTAATTCTCCGAGATAGACTACGTCGCGATAAGAAATCGCCAGCAGGAGGTGACGCGCTCTTCCAGACTACCGGGACGGACGATTACGGCTTGACTTTGGTGCACTACGTAGCATACAGAGGTTCAAGTCAGCTTCTCGTCAGCTTACTAAAGCGCCACGAGTACCAAAATCTGGTGAACAAGAAGTGTACGTCCGGTTACACGCCTCTGCACTTCGCGGTGGTCATGGTGAACTACGAGGTGGTCCGGGTGCTTCTGAAAGGCCCAGCCTCGACAGAGCACAACGACCGCGCCGGCAAGGCCGAGCTCGCGTGGCGGGTTCGAACAACTGAAGAGGACGGATCCGGAGAGACCCCGCTGGAGAAGGTCGGGAAACTCAAGGCCGAATCCGAGCTCCCCGCAGCGAAGGATCGCCTGTCGCACATCGAGCAGATGCTTCTGAACGAGAGCGACGTCCGAGAGTACGTGGACAAGCTGTACAGGGACCGGCAGGTGTACGTGGACGCCTCGAACGCCATGCTGGTCGGCGCAGCCGTCATAGCCAGCGTCACCTTCGCGGGCTGGCTCCAGCCGCCTCTGGGCTACGCGGAGTACAGCCAGTACCCGGTTTCGGACTCTGCTCCCTCGGACGGCGTCCGTTTCGAATCCTATGCGGCAGTGCAGCAGCACCCGAGCGTTCAAACCTTCTGGGTCTTCAACAGCCTCTCGTTCTTCTTCGCAGTGGCCGCTGTGGTGTGCGGGGCGGGGGCGTCACTGCAGATGCAGCTCTCGCAAGAGGCCAGTAACTCTTTTGCCATCAAAGGGGAAGTGAAGCGGATCCGGAAATGGTTGGCCGTCACGTCCCTGCTGATGGCGGGCGCGATCGTTTGCGTTCTGGGAGCATTCGGAACTGCGGGCTACGTTGTTCTGCCCCCGGAAATGAAATTCCGAGCAGGTATGATTGTCACGCTCTGCATCGGTATTCCTATTTGTGTGGCTTCTCTCTACTGGTTCTTCCGGTCGTCGGGTATTGTCAAGGTAGGTGTGGGATGGGCTTTGCACACGAAGCAACGGCTTTTCTTGACGCTTCGGCTTTGGATATTTGCTTTGTTAATTTGGTATATATCTTGATAATTTGTCATAACTATTATGGCGTCAATCAATTTTTATTTATGATAAATATAACCACAATTTTTGTTTGTTTACCATGCATGCTTTACTCGAGTGACAATATCATTAAGGCCGATCTGTATTCCTCTGTCCGTTATTAGCTATCACCCTAAGTGCATAGTTTCAAGATAAACTTTAGCAAAGCTTCCAGCAAATATACACAGTTTGGAAAATCTAAGTTCAAAAGGAATCCATCCTTCATCGAATTCCCGCATTTTATCCAATGTTTTGTTGAGTAGATCTTCTCTTTCTCCTTTGATCAATGAATATATCATGAGTTTTGAGATCAAATAAAAGGTAGTAGAATGTTTACGTTAATATCCAAATACAACTAATCATGGGAACCAACAAAATGAGTAAGATAGTATTCGAAGAAAATGTGTTTGAAGTGTAGTTACAGAACACGATATGCACTCCATATTTGCCAAGTGTTGACTTTCTAGATGTTGTGATTCCAACTCTAGCCAATATGAAACCTTTGAGTATTTTGTGGTTGTAGTCGGTATTTCACTTCTGTTTGATTGTTTTCGCTGCCCATACTTGGCAAAAGCGACACAAAACCTATATAACAACACCATACATGAAGATCTTCAGCCTAATTTAAAGATATAAAATGGACTTTCGCGCTTCTTTGACGATATTTTATCCATATCAACAATGGACAAGAAAAACACAAACAGCGAAACGAGACTCAAACTTCCAATTTTATTTATAGCATCACTCAAAAATTATTTATGACAAAGATGGCACGAGCAGACCCAAATGCCATATTATGTATTATCTGATATAGAGAGATTTGCTTGATGGGACCCCTCAGGTTTAGTTTTACCCAATGGGATCCAACGACTGTGTGCCGTCGTCCATAGTTCTTGTAACTATGATTGATAGTTACAATGCGGGGATTACAATCAGGAATCAATCCCTGATTATAATTTCTGGTGGATTATCACGGGAACAAAGATCAATTTTGCCTGAAGTGCAATTTGTCGTGCTTCAATTCTCCATATCGCACCGATTCGCGGATTTCTATGCTATCTCCTGCTTGCACCCTCCTTCCGTAAACCTGCGTATGCGACGAGGAGCTCGTACCGGAAAGTGGTCCGAGCTCAAGTCTCGCGGTCTCCCATTTGTGGCGAGCAAATAAACTCCAGATGAGCATTTCTTTGCTCTTCAACTGGGGGAGTGGCCGGATACAGAATGACAAAATAAAAACAAGTGAGTGTGATGGAGGGCGAAGTCCACTCTGTCCGCGGTTGTGGTTGACTCGTTGCACTCTCTCTAAAACTCAAGTCGTTATTAGAACATGGATGACGTGTATCGTTGATGGGATCCCATAGGGTAAATCGAAACCTAAAGGGTACCATCAAGCAAATTATTTTCCGCACGGGTCCATCAAGCAAATCTCTCTCTGATATACCGTATCAATCAACGGAAGCGGAGTAAATGGCGAATGACAACATTGTTGATGACAAAATTCAGAACAACACCACGTTTTTTATCATATAGACTACGCACACTGGATTAATTCTCGACCAGCATAGTGTTTGTTTCTGCAATAAATTTATCGCTGTAACAAATCACACTTGGTAGAATGCGCTAAAAGCCCAAGAGTCTGCACTTCGCGGTGCACATGGTGAACTACGCGGTGGTCCGGGTGCTTCTGAGAGGCCCAGCCTCGACAGAGCACAACGACCGCGCCAGCGAGGCCGTGCGAGCGTGGCGGGTTCGAACAACAGAAGAGGACGGATCGGGATACTCCCCGCAGCCGAAAACTCAAGCGGAGCTCCCCGCAGCCAAGGATCGTGAATCTCAAGGCCAAGACCGAAGCCCGGCCGCCGTCCCACAGGCGGACAGACGGGATCGCCTGTCGCACATCGAGCAGATGCTTCTGAACGAGAGCGACGTCCGAGAGTACGTGGACAAGCTGTACAGGGACCGGCAGGTGTACGTGGACGCCTCGAATGCCATGCTGGTCGGCGCAGCCGTCATAGCCAGCGTCACCTTCGCGGGCTGGCTCCAGCCGCCTCTGGGCTACGCGGAGTACAGCCAGTACCCGGTTTCGGACTCTGCTCCCTCGGACGGCGTCCGTTTCGAATCCTATGCGGCAGTGCAGCAGCACCCGAGCGTTCAAACCTTCTGGGTCTTCAACAGCCTCTCGTTCTTCTTCGCAGTGGCCGCTGTGGTGTGCGGGGCGGGGGCGTCACTGCAGATGCAGCTCTCGCACGAGGCCAGCAACTCTTTTGCCATCAAAGGGGAAGTGAAGCGGATCCGGAAATGGTTGGTCGTCACGTCCCTGCTGATGGCGGGCGCGATCGTTAGCTTTCTGGGAGCCTTCGGCACTGCGGGCTACTTGTTCTGCCCCCGGAAATGAAGTTTCGAGCAGGTATGATTGTCACGCTCTGCATCGGTATTCCTGTTTGTGTGGCTTCTCTCTACTGGTTCTTCCGATCGTCGGGTATTGTCAAGGAAAGTGTGGGATGGCTTTTGGAGCACCAAGCAATCGCGACGCTTTTCCGGACGCTTGTGCGGGTGAGAGCTCGGCTCAAGAACACGGACATAATGAGTTGTCGTGCACTTAAAATTCCAGTTCACGGAGTAGTGTAGTGTCATTCACTGTGCCTACTTATGGTCAAATTTGAAAATAACCAAGTCCATAAACAAAGTAGACTTGATCAGTTATCGACTACCGGAGTTTTTGCTTCTGCCATGAATATATGTCTATCACACAATCAACTTGGTAGGAGGCGCTTAAAGTTCACGTCTTCCAACAGTAGTCCAAGTTTCTTGAGCAGTTCCAAGAAAAACCAACGAAGAGTTACAATCAAGATCTACTTTGAAAACGTGAAGAAATGAGCTGTTATAATGGGGAGCCGACGAGAGCAGCAAAGACTGCTTTAGAAATAAATCGGGTGCAGAGTTATATGATATCTTGATATCTTGAACCATCTCTGAATTGCACAGTATATCAGTAAAAATCTTCATAATCAACCACACAGACCTAACATGCCCTTTCCTATAGGAACATCCACAATAGGTCCAGTGCTGCAAAATATCTTCCTGCATTAGCAGGAAATAGCGATCAAAATTTGCCGGTGGCTTAGAGTTGGTTAAGGATAAGTACAGTCAAACTTGTATAATCAATGTATAAAAAATGGTCAACTTTATTACATAATAAGTAAACAAGCTACAGAATGACAGCATATATCTGGAGGGTGTAAAAAAGTTGGTGTGAATTGCGAAGCAAATTTTTCTGTCTTAGGGTTGAAACCCGATGGTGAAGCATCACAAAGTAGGGATCAGCTGCAGCAGCACATGCTCTTCCAGCATGCCATGCTAAAAGGAATTCAGATGCTGCTAACAAACTTCAGCAAACCTCATTTGAAAGTAAAAGCGTAATCTCTAAGATTTTTAAACGAGTCGTTGATTTTTTGAACATATTTGGACAAATTATTTATATCACTAGAACTTAAAATTCAAATTAAACGAAACACTGTTGTTGGTGACACACTGTTATAATCGTATCTTATAAAAAGGTAGTTCAAGTTCTTGTGTTTACATTCCATTGGACAACACCATGCCAAACAATTATTACAAAGAACTAAAAACTTCAACTAAGTGTATTTGAATATTACAAGAGATTGTCATCTTTATTGTCATCGAAGTTCAAAATATTCCTACTTATGTTTTATAAGTGTTCACTTCTCTTAACAATACTTGCGTCACAAAGCTCCTCTTGTCTCAAGCAAAATATTCGGCAAGATCACGGTAAGGAGGCCTCGTTATAGATCAAAACAGTCCAAAAAAATGGTGTGTGTACAGTACTTGAAAGAATGTGGTTAGGATTGGAGTCACAACCGCAAAAGTCATGCTACCCAGCGTGGTCATGCCTAAATCACTTTATTCCTACGAGACATCAGTGTATATATCAATCAAACACGTTTTCAAGATTTATGTCTCATAAATAAATTTAGTTACTAAATGTTTTAGGCAGCAACATCTTAACTTACATTCAAATTCAATGTCATTTGCACTATGTAATAACCCACCAAAGGCTAAAACTGCAGTATGGTGGTAAAAAGATCGAACCCACAGGGACAAAGGCAACACACAGAGTAAAAAGTGTCACGTTTAACAGACTTTTGTAGAGTTTGAATTCTCAAGCGACTGTCACTCCCAGAAATACTGCAGTCCTCGACTCGGAGGCTCGACTCGGAGGAGGATGCTCGACTCGGAGGATGCTCGGAGGATGCACAGTACAGCGTAGTCACTCAACACACACACACACACACCTGAAACTGGCAAAAGCACAACTCGGAGGTCGGTCAGGACCTCCGCTTCGGATTTCAGGGGGAAAGTGTCTCAAAAGTTCACTCAGAGGTTCTGTAGGTAGTGACTTCCACTCCGGCTTTTACTGCCCTTCCGCCAGGAACTAGCGTAGGGAACCCAGACTGGACTTCCCACTTCGGAACGAAGCCCCTTCATACGCCGTGGACGTCACCCTCGACTCACACCAAACGCAGGGGGTACAGGCCCGACTGAGAACTTAACTGAGACACAATCCAGTAACACACACACAACCTGAATTGCAAACCAAGGCTTACACGAAGTAATAAAACTTCACTTTGGCATTCAGGGGAAACTTCCCGTAGGAGTACAATCAGGATATGTCACTCGAAGGAGTAAGGGGGAACTGTTCAAGTCTCTAACTCGCAGCCGGCTCTTAGCATCAGAAATCATCCGCAGGTGCAGATCCGCACTACTCAAGTCTCTAACCGGGTGTTAGCTCTGAACATTCAGCCGAAGGCCTTCAACTACAACATACGGTAACTTCGCTATGCTGCAGCTTCTCTACGTGGTGCCAGGACCAAAATGCACAAACACGCCAAGAAAGTGAGTTCCTGATCTGCACTTCCGCAACTGGAAGAGTCCCAAGGCAAAACGCCTTGATCTACTTTATACCCTCTAAGGTCCTAACTAACACTACGCTATCCTATCTACTACTCGCAACACCTGCA